GGGCGGGAGCGAGGGGAGAGAAAAGAAGAGAAAGAGAGAGAGTGAGAGGGGGAGGAAGAAACGCGCGCGCGGACATTCAAATTTATGGTAATGCCCGACCGACCGCTCTCCGGTGCAGGGTTATCGATCTCGTCTCTCTCTCTCTCTCTCTCTCTCTCTCTCTCTCTCTCTCTCTCTCTCTATCTCTCTCTCTCTCTCTCTTTATCCCTCCCTATCCACCTCTGGTACGTCGTTACCGGCGTTATTAATATCACTCCTGTTATTGTTATTCCCACAGCGGTCTCGCCACGATACGCCACCGCAGTCGTAGGAATCGCATGGATCGCGATCAACCGGGATTTCGCGAGAGAAGCGACGGACTTGTGTTCCGTTGCTTTCATGAATATTAATTCGCGCGAGTACTCGCTAGTAGCGCTAACGATCGTTAATTTACGAGCGGCTAGGTTAGGGCGTTTCGGCAGGTGACTATACAAATTATACTTGTCGCTTGTCGTCGTTGTCGCTGTCGTCGTCGTCGTCGTTGTCATCGTCGTTGTCTCATCTACTCGCGAGTTTACGCGCTTCATGCGGCTTCTGTCGGCCACTGTCAATGACAATGAGCAATTTGTACGACAATTACTCGCACGTATACACTCGAGACGCGGAATTTGTGTCTAGGGAAAATCATGGAGGATTCGACAAAAATCGTCGCCAAACGTCAAATGTTCGTTTTGCCCGAGTGATACAGGAAACATCTAGTAGCTTGGCACTCCTTCTGGGATTTTGTCAAATATTAAGGCGTATAGGAATTTATTAATTATTTATCAATTATCTATTAATTATGTTATTTATGTTTTTTTTTGCGCAAATTGCCATACATTTTGACACTTGATAATATCCACGCAAGATTACGAGAAACAAGCAAGATGCCGGAATGTTTTCCTTTAAATCTCGTTCAATGTCCTCGTGGTATTGAGACACACTCGAGGCAATTTGGAGATGTTACGCGGAAGATTTGCTCGTGGTATTCGCCACGTTAAGTGTACGAGTACAGCTGGCCGCGAGAGAGACCCCATATTTCTCGGCGAATGATATAGGACTGTTGTTATATGGCCGAGTCATGTAAACTTCGCTCGCTTGCATCTGCCTCGGCGTGACGTGGGCAATACGACTCAAGTGGAATATATCGATGGTGCTCGCGAGGGAAAGAGAGAGGAAAACGATGGAATGAGAAGGAGGAGAAAAAGGAGGAGGAGGAGGAATGATGGAGAGGCAGAGGAAGAGAGAGAGAACGAGGGAGGTCAAATAAAAAAAAAAGGATCGAAACGTTATGACTTTATAGCGTTATATCCTGTCTGCCGCGGAATAGGGATCCTAATCCTTTGTCTTAGCGAGCCGTTGCGGCAGCCGCCGCCGCTTTCGTTGGCCAATTTATGGTTGTTAGAGGATTTTAACGTACGGCAATATAGCCACGTGAACGAGACGCGACGGAGGGACGCGTATAACGTGATCCCCGAAAGGCAACACGAAACACGAATAGCGGACCGCGAGAATTATCCACGCGAGGAGAATGATTTACCGAATTATGCACTTCTGTTTGCGCCGACGAAGCAGCCAGGTTCGGCACTCATCGCCTAAAATTACATCTCCAGTAATTATGACTGAAAATGAGCATCGGTTCGGAGAAACTCGCCGGGAACGAACGACTTTCACGATCAGTCCCTCGCGGTATTCGCACTCCGAAATATTTGTCGTTCGCTAGACACATCTTCGAGGACCTTAACCGGCTGCCTCGGTTGCACTGCAAACTACCGAGTAAGTTTGTCCTCTTCTCCACTCCACGCGAAAGAGGGGTAGGGTGCGATCCATTGTCTTTACCGTTCATTCCTGTCCCTCTCTTCTCCTTTCCTCTCTCTTCTCTCTTTCCCCTCTCTCTTTTTCACTCACACACACACACACACACACAGACACACACACATATACACGCGCGCGCGCGCGCGCGCACACGCTCTCTCCGCGCGGCCCATGTATTTTCATTGAAACTCCACCCACTGCAAAAGTACCATTGTTCGAATATTCAAAACGGAGACGTCCATTGTGGTACGTTAGAATGGGCACAATGTGGTTCCTGTGTCGCGGCGCGCGCGTGCTGCGACTTACAACTCGTCCGTGACTCCCTTTAAATTCGCGCGCGGACCGCGAAAATCAGGACATCAACAGGGCGGGGGACGGAGGGGGAGGTTAGAGGGGAGGGAGTGTGGTTGATTTGTTAAACAGGTGTGCTTAACCTTCGATGCTCGATTTTGGTATCGATCGTTGTAGGATATCACCGTCACATACACGGGGAATCGCGAACGAGGACGATCGTCGTTATTGTCGTCGTCGTCGTCGTCGTTGTCGCCGTCGCCGTAGTCAAGGAGGATATCGGTGACACTTGGGTTTCTTCAAACGACAATGAACTGTGCTGTACGACATTAAAGTGGTCTTTTATTCATAAATCCTCGTCGTCGTCGCAAATAACGCTGTGTACGGCAGGAAACTAACACTGAATAAAAATCGTATCGTAATGTGATTGAGGTAGACGGAAAATGAAAGTTTGAAGCGTAAACATACAACGTAATACTCTTTCTTTTAATATAATAAGAATTTATATGTATATATATATATGTATGTGCATATATATATATATATATACACACATACACATACGCACACATATATCATGTGATCATTAGACAATAATATTAATAAAATAATAATAATTGCAATAATAATAGATATATATATTCTGTTTATATTCACATTCAGAACTATGTACAGTTTTTAATTACTTTACAATCGAATCCGTACGAACAAGCGAATAAAACCTAGTAGTCGTAGTGTATATCTGCTTCATTATCTGTACTATTCACAACAAATAGATTCTCTCACGAGGGTGCGACAATGTACACAAAACGTGCGTTATATTTATATATATAATCTTTTCATTTTATTTACCGCTCCACACCTGCTCGTCGTTAGCTGTACCGCCTGCGAAGCGGCACGCTCGACCCTCGTTTTTTTTCGCGACTCTACTTCTCCTGATTATTTACAAAAACGTTATCGCATAATTATACTATGATATACGTGTCAACGAATGCACGAGCACCGACCGTCTTCTTCGTCAGAGTATACCAATACCGCAAACGCCTTGTCTGTGTACGTGCTTGTATGTGGATCTGTTGTGTGTTTGTGTTTGTCTTTCCCTATCTTTTTCCCGTTAAACGGAAAAATCGCATATACACACACATTCTCTCGCTCTCGCTCTCCCGTTATCACAGATATAAATAAATGTATTCTTTACAAAACAATGTACAAGTTGCATTCGCACACCCTCAAACTGCGGACGACGACTGTCGCGCGCACACTCTCGTTACTCCAAAGTACAAAATAATAGTTGATATTTTCTTTCGTTCTCTCTTTCTCTCTCTCCCTCTCTCTCTCTCTCTCTCTCTCTCTCTCTCTCTCTCTTCCCCCCTGCCCCACATTTTCTTTCTTCGAAAAGCGGCCCGAAACTATCGCGTTTTGCAAGTACATCGCGCATCCTGCTCGTCATGATCGACGAAGGTCGCCCTTTTCTTCATGGAGAGACAAGTCGCGCGATATACATACATGTTTATATAAAAAAATAACAACAATTTCGAGCACCGTGCACTGCCGCATTTCTATTCACGCGATATCCTCGAGTCACGATATCGAGCAGCGATATCATCGCAACACAACGCATATGCGACGATGTTCGTGCCTTCGCGTACGTGAATTCCGTGATTGGGAAACTCGACATCCTTGGTAGAATAAAACAATGATTAATTTCACCGCTTATCCCGAACAAGGGAACTCTGAAGATTCGTCTGTTCAAAGATTCGCTTGAGAGAATTAAAAAGCTACGTAGCGATCGCTTGGAAGGTATTTCAGGACATTGTGAAAATTTACGTTCAATATTATCCTATCGTTATCTTTATTTAACAGGAAGAGATCGTCTCTTCCTATAGTCATAGAAATTAATTTTACAACGTCGAACGACGAAAAAACGCAGAGGAAGCGAGTGGAAACATGCCGATTCGACTCGAGATGCGCGAGTGCACGGCTCTGTGGTGCACAAAAAGGGACGAGTTTGATCCTCATAGCAACACCACCGTCGTATCCTCGTCGCTGATAATAATTACTACGCGCGTAAGCGTTACGCCAACTCTCCGCTCGTATGATCTTCCTCCTTCCTCCCCATTTCCCCCACCCCTCCCCTACCCCACATATTTTTATTCGTATTTATACTTATAATATAGTATATTCTGCGGCGCGGGAATCTCTTTCTCTGTTTCTTTCCGCGGGGACTCTCGAGACGCCACCCCGATAAAATTTCGTGATGTAGTAGGTACAGCCTTAAGATCTACGGCCTAGAGTTAACTCGCGTGTCACCGTGTGTGTGTTTCTTCGTATATGTGTGTGTGTGCGAGTAAGTGTGATGCGCGTAGGTGTGCATTATTTATCATTCCATCTCTATATGCGGGTATGTCGGGTATACGTTAATATTTCATTCGGATAGTTAAAGGAGTTAGTGGTAGTTTAAAGATAGTAGCTTTGTAGTGCGCTATGCGATCTGTCTTTCCCTTATTTTCGTCTTAAACCTACAACAGGTAGATCAAGTATCTCTGTTCTCTCTCTCTCTCTCTCTCTCTCTCTCTCTCTCTCTTTCTTTCTGTGTATCTCTCGATACTGATGATACTGCGCAACCTCGGACACAACATCTCGCCCGAGTTTCGCTCCGCGTCCCGCCGAAATCACCCCAACGAGCTACCACGGGAGCGATTTCGAGCGATGACCGTTTCTTAGGTGGGTCTCTAAGGTCTCTCGTTAGTCCTCTCATAACGAAGGTGCGGCGGTTGCTTGCTCGTTCGCTTACTTGCACGTTGCCCGTGAATTCGCGATTTGTGAATCCGCGCGCGATCTCGGAAGAGGCGCGTCGTTTGTCCACCAGCCGGTCCCGCGGTCCTTCCGACGAAAACCGGACGGATCGACCGGCGATATAATGGAATCTCGAAAACGACTCGCCCTTCCACCGGCGGGTGTATCGTATATATGTGTCACGTGTAATTGTGTGTGTGTGTGTGTGTGTATGTGTATTCGCGTACATACACTCTGGTGATGCTGCGACGCAGCTTCTCGAAGCGCGATCGGCGCTTCTCGTCTTTTCTATATACAGAATCGAGGATTCTACGTGCTCGCGGGAACTCATTCTTGCCGACGACACCGAACGATCTACTCGAATGGCTCACGTCGACGGAAAAAACGAGAAGAAAAACAAAAAATTGAAGAAGACTCACGATATCGCGTGTAGACGGTACGGTGTTGCGCGAGTACGTGTGTGTGTGTGTGTGTGTGTGTATACATATGTATGTGTTATGCGTGCACGCATGCATGCATATTGCGTGGAAACGATGCACCGGTGGTGTCGGGCATCGGCGGAGAAATCGTTCAACCGCTTTCTCCCTCCCCTTCTCGACCCGGGTGTAACACGAAAACGTTTACCTCCACCTGAGAGTGCCTCGGCGACAAGGTGGACCCGCGCTTCTCCTCGCAGTCGCTCCTCCTAGAGAGAGCTCGTCGGCAGGCACGGTGGTCGGTGCGGTCACGGTGACCGGTAACCGATCGAAAATAGTGACTCTCCGCTCCTCTACCGGTGGGGTGGAGCGCTCGCGTCGGGCATAAATCCTCCCGCGGTGCGGTCCCTCACATTCTTCTTTCCTCTTATATAGCCGGGCTCGCGGTGTCGCCTCGCCGTACGTAGCCGTGCGTAAGCAGGCACTTTGACGTAATTCTCCTAATTCCTAAATCTCCCCTAAGCTGCCGCCGGCTCTCCTCCCGCGCTCGCGTACTCTCGCACCCCTCGCGGGTGCGAGCGCGCGCGTGCGCTATCCGCCCCATTCGTCTTCTCCCAGTCGCGCGTTTCCTTCCGAGAGGTCGGGGAAACGATTTATGTATCTCGAAGAGTCAACTGCCCTCCGACCGCCACCCGTCCACCCATCCTTCCTCCCAACCCTTTCTACCCTTTTCTATCCGCTCTTTCTCTCTCTCTCTTTTTGCCGCTAGTGCTTCGCGCTTCCTTCTTTCTTCCCGCCTGACGCGAGGTCGAGATAACGCTAATAAATCCCGAGACCACTCAGGAGCGCGTATTTACAGTCCGGCCGCAGGACCTTCTCCGCAGGACCTTTCCTCAACGGCGCCGCTTTATCCTGCAACAGAGAAATGGAGATGGTCTTAGATCGGCCGCCGGTGTCGTGCGCCCTTTTGTTCCGCGAGAGAGCGGAGGCGTCTCTTGTGCGCGACGTGTGCACGTCAGGCGTCATGTGCGCGCCTGATGATTACAATTAGACATATGTATTACATTTTTCTACGCTCAAACGATAAACGATACACGCAATGCGTCACAGCTCTCCAAACCGCCCTAACGAGTCGGCAAAGCGATTGTCGCTGGTTATCAAGGTGTGCAATTGCAGGCCGCTTCCACAGAAATTACCGACTTCCGAAGAAATTACTTCATAAGGCCACGACAATTGCACTCAGCAATTATAACCCGTTCGACGAGCACGCGGGGGGCGCGACCGGTTTGGTGGACGGTTCGCGATAACCGCGCAAACGCGCCGAAGTTTGTGAATTCATGATCGGACGTTACAGCGCTCATGCTTCCGGTAGGATCGACAACGGCGGCTTATCGATGCACTCGACGATCACCGTGTCTCACACGGGATGGAGCGACCGGGACGTTGGGCATGTCGATTCCCCGACATCGTCGCGATCGGTTGCACGTCATCGGGGTACGAACCCGCTCGTTATGTGTAGCGCATTCTATTTTTGCGCGACTCGACTCGCGGTCGGATAATCGTTCTCGCTCGCGATAGCGCGACAGCGATTGATAAACGATAAAGTACCACGTGCCGCGCGAGATAAAAGGCGATCGTTATGCAAAACACGCCACTCAACCGGCCATTAGCGGCGCGCGTATCGTTCTCTTCGCTCGGCTCACACACGGAGCGGCCGCTTACACGGCCGTAAACTATTCGCCGTAATTGTGTCGACTATTTTCGCGTGGTGCATTAGATAGACCGACACGCGAATTATGCGCGAGACAACACCCTCCGTGGAGAATCGGCAGAATCGTAAATCCCAAATCTTCGGACCAAAGGAGGTGGAGGAGGAGGTGGTGGAGGAGGAGGAGAATTGGAAGTTATCTCTTAATGGACGAAAAGAGTTTGATTTAATCGCGCGCTCGTGCGCCCACGCGAATTTATGCGGCACTTTGCTAACATTTGCGGCAACAAGCGATTTCCATTTCTGGAACTGATAAAATTAGCACGACGGCCATTATAGCGCGCTCGTTGTACATGTGTATGGCCGTGCAGATGGATCAGCGTATCTGCACCGCGTGTATCGATTGGCCACGTCTCTTCCGGTGGCCAACAACTTCGATATGCCGCTTGCTGTAGCGGCAATTGCCGTATAGGCGATACCGCGTTCTCTCTTGTTTCCCCTGTACGTTGCTCGCGTTTCGGCTATTTATGACGATCGCCTGAGATACGCGTTATAGCCGTATCACACTAGCGACTCGCCATTGCGGCTGTGATTATGTCTCTTAACCAATGAGAAAAGCCAATGAGTAGTAGCCAAGAGACATAATCGCAGCCTCAGCCGCAGTCGCGAGTCGCTAGTGTGATACGGCTATTAGATACGATTTCCGAACGCGATTTTAATCAAAGCTTCATCGATATTGTCGCGCGCGTATCAAACCCCGAGGAGACTTTGCAAGAGTAAAGGAGACATTTTTCGCCTTCGTTCGCGCCGAGTCTCGTCGCTGGCAACGCGCACGATCGATGAACGTATAGTCCTGCAGCATCGCGTGAATAAACCATAGAGATATGAACATGCAAATCGATATGAAGCGAGGAGAGGAGATCCCTTTTTTTCTTCTCTTTGTTTTGGCAAGTCTACACAGTGGACATTGTCCCGAAATTCAGAAAGCGAGACATCTTTTCGAAAAGTATTAATTCCGAAATCCACATAACCTAACGAAACTATAAATTTCTTAAAAATTGGAAGCTTGCAATTGTCCTGGAAAGTTATAACATCGAGATCAGTAGAGGCAATGCACCAAAATTGCTATTACTATTATTATCATCTTGAGGAAGTTATTTTTTATATACATTTTTTCCCATTTTACTTACTATGTTATGTACATTTATTATTTTACACCTATCTCTCTCTTTCTTTCTTGCTCTCTCTCTCTCTCTCTGCCCTATACTTATCATTGAATCTAATATTTTGTTTGTTTCATCTATGATTATTTTTATTCAATTCGTATATATTAAAGAGCGCTTTCCCGTTAACAAGGATTATTATTATTTTCGATAGAAAATTGTCTTACATTCCGATTTTGGCAGATTTTTCTCGGGACGATGCATACACGGAAAAAAAAGATTTGCTAATATATGGACAACTAATATATATATTAGCTAATATATATATTAGCAAATCTTTTAGCTATCACAAATAAATGACTTTGCTATGAAAGCAAGAAAATTTGCTCCTGCAGCTAATATTTTTAGTTGTATATATTAGCAAATCTTTTTTTTCCGTGTATCCATACTTGGTACACGCACAGCTGAATGAGTTGAAATGAAAAGCAATCAGAAGGAAGTTTTAGAGCCGCTTGCAATCTCGACTCGCTGCCCGAAAGGGTTATGCATCGCGTCCGCGAGTGACGCTGATCGATGCTCGATGCATCATCGACGATACGTTCGAATTAATCGTGTTTCGGCGAACAATTATGCGGACACGTGGGCACACGTTGATGCGCGATAACGCCGCCGGGGAGATTTCCGCGTTGCGCGATTAAACGGCACGCCAATATCCATTTGGTGGCGACGTTTCGGGAACGACACCGTCGGCACCAGGCTCGCGGCAGTCCGGCGAATATTTCGCAACGCCGCTGTTCGTAGTAAGGGCTGTCTGTCTGTCTATCCGTTCCGCCGTGCGTCCCTTTCTCCCCTGCATCGCCGTTTGTTCCTTCTTTCCTTCCCTCTCGCGCTCGCTGTCGCTCCCCGTTCGCCGGACTGCGACGCCGCGTCGCTTCGGATGACAAATGTCCCGCGATTATGCGGCAAGTCGTTCTGAAAGTTCTGCCGTGTGACATCTGGATGTTACACCGCCGGTCTCCAGCGGGAGCATCGCTCTCCCGGCAATAAACATTTACGATTATCATTTGTGCGACCTCTCGCGACTCGCGTCCCCGTTTCTGCGTGCACATTGTTACGAAACTCCCAGCGATCTATCTGGCCGATAAAAAACGCACTCATGACGGGGCGTACGCGCGCACACACACACACACCCACACGCAGGTTTATCACCATTATTATTATCGACGTCGGCTGATCTCTCGTTGGCTTTTATCCGATAATGCGGAAGGGAAGGCACAGCGCGAAACTTTGCAGTCGATGACGCACCGAGGGAACTATTTCGCCTTGGCTATCGGAGAGACGTTAACGCGGAATGACAAACTTCCTCGCGAGAACTTGGGACTTGAGGCATAAAAGACGGCGAGATAGTGTAATTGCTCGATCATCATCTCTCACACGACTCATACGTCTCTCGTTAACTCGAAGCCAGCCGGCCAGACAGGCAGACGGACGGACGGACGGACGGACGCGCGGAACGAAGAAGGTGTCTTTTCTTTTTATAAACGCGAGGCTACTTACATCCGTTGCCCATTCCTCGACGGCTGACCCTTCGTAGAAACCTGTTTATCCATTCTCCACTATCTCTAACGGATGTCCCGAAAGTGACGTTATGAGACACAGTGCCGCGGGATAGAAGCATCTGCTCCTATCCACTTAGCTATCACGACCTCTCGAGTGTTCGTCCTCCGGTAATTTACAAATCGGCAGATTAATTATATTCGAATAAGAGCCGACTAGAAATTTATCCCATGGTCCTGATCAGGCTGATACCTGTCGGCTGACCGAGGCGGCCTCATGCTTTTGCATAACCTGATGTAATCGGATCCTGATAAGTCATGTAACGCAATGTGACAATCAGGACCTTATTAACATTACACGTAAAACTTTATATGTAACACTTGGCGATATTTCTGCGAATTATTTTCCTACAATTAATTTTAATTATCGTTCCTTTTCTCTTCGTTATATATATTCCGTGTAATCTTATGAATGAACAAATTAAATAAATAATTTATGAGGATCGTTAATAATTAGTATCTTATTGATAATTAGAGTCTGATAAAACATCATCTTGTACAAGCCAGATAACTGATTGGAATCAACCTGACCAGGAACATGGGGTAAATTTCTAATATCTTCGCAATAAATTTGCGCTCGATGGCCGTTCGTCCAAGGATACCGCGTAGATTCGGATTAAGATCTCAGGTACGACGCTTACTCTCGCGGCCGGCGACGGTAATTTATTTTCAATCGCGGCGAGAATCGCGCCGATTACGGGGAGAACTCTCTCTCGCGGTCTCTCCCGTGAGGATCGGCCGAGCGACGTGACGTCGTAATTTAACGCGAACGGCCGCGAGAGAGGATCCTCGTTGGGGAGATCCCGGCTCTCGGCGTCGATCTCGACGCGCGATATTATGCGCTTATAGAACAAGACCCCGAGGAGGGAGGAAGAGTGAGAGAGAGAGAAAGAGAGAAGGATATATATATATATATATATATATATATATATATATATAGAAAGAGAGAAAGGGGGAGAGAGAGAGAGAGAGAGAGAGAGAGAGAAATGCGAGGCGGTGAACGGAATCCGCGATGCGAGATTCGCCGTAAACGTGAATTTCATCGCTCGAATTCTCCCCGGTTGATCCCCGGATATCGTCGCCGCCGCCGCGGCGAACGCGCGCTCCATAATGCCAATGTGCCATCGTGTAATTATTACGCTGGTCTCGCGTGGCCGGCACGGAGTAACTTGCATAATGCAGAAGACAGCCCCGGCATGAAATTATAAACATCAAACAATCATTAATTCAACGAAAGCACCGGTTGCGGGGAATTTTAATAATAACTCATGCGCCTCGTGATAGCGTAGCTCGACTTACATTACCCGGTACTTTTACCTCGTGGCGAAGGAGGCAAAACATTCCGCGCGCGTAATCGACGCGAATTATATTTCCTTGGAAAGCCAACAACGTGGCCGCGGCGTTGACGGCGGCGACGGCAGCGACGGCGGCGACGGCGAGGCGCACATGCACCTTCATAATGATTTAATTATAACGTGCGCTCGGGACTAGCGGGGGACTCTGTTTATTTTATAACTTTATTAATAATCCCCCGTTAAGTGTACGTGAATCGCCTCATACGGTGTTTATACGGTAATAGCGTAAGGGCGTATGGATAACGAGCCGTCCGTTCAGCCGTGGCTCTTTTCTGCGCGCGTGCGTCCTAGAGATCATCACACCGAAGCAAACGAGCGTAACGAGTAAACAGCGAGCGCGCAACACACGAGCGTCACTTTTTTTTTAATGAGTAGAGATAGCATCTCTTCTCGACTGTCTATCTATCCGGTTTTAGAATTAACGCCAGTCGGCTGGACTAGCCGACTAGTCTGAGCGCGGCGCGCCTTTCTCACTCACTGTTGGAGAGTTGCATTTTTATTCCCAATCGATAGCATTTGCATCCGCGCCAGCGCGGTCGAAGTCACGAATTTGTGAATGATAGCGACAGGTCTCGCCTCGCTTTGCGTTAAGAAAGAGATAGAGACAGAGAGAGACATTTATTTTACACCCTGAAACCAAGTTTCTTCAGTCGCTTCGTCTTTATATACAATGTGAAACGGTCATCGAGTATAATACTAACAAAAGTATCAATATTTCAAGATATAACATGTAAATCGTTTGCACAAAGAGTATTTATATAAATAAGTAATAATAATTATTATAATATAATACGGTTAAAATTGAAATTAAGTGAATATGTATGGTTGACAAGTGCTATACGGAAATGAAAAATATCTATTTTTAAAGCCTAGACTGTGGTATTAGCTATTCGCGAATGTTAGGAAGAATCCCATTCTAATATTCCACCACAAAGAATCTAAAAGATGAGTACAACCAATCTACCACAAAAGAGACAGAAGGAGAGAAGAGAGAGAAAGAAAATGTGATGCACGTCTCTCTCTCTCTCTCTCTCTCTCTCTCTCTCTCTCTCTCTCTCTCCCCCTCTGTCCCTCTGTTTCTCACGTGGGCGCTCTCCGATTACTCCCAGGTAGCAACGAAGAAGAAGCCGTCTAGTGCGCGTACGAGAACGCGAATCCGGGCTACTGTTTCGACCCTGAGAACTCCTCTCTCAGGATTTACGCGCGTCGGTCGTTACGCGTGATAAACACTCCGTGGCGAACTCGTGTCCCGAAAATAGAGGTCGAGGACAAAGAAGGACACACGGTATGCATAAATGCGACGAGCAGCAGCGTGTGTAGTGCCCGATGAAACACAACCGAAGCCTGGGAATCCCAGAAATGCGCGCGTTTCTCAAAGAAGCACCGGCAACGGTAGGCCTTCGAGGTCTCTCCAGGAGAGAGAAATAGAAGGAGAACGAGCGAAAGAGGGACACTGCGGGAGAGAGATGGAGCAGGAAAGAGTGCGTAAGAGGAAGAGACGAAAAAGACGCGGGAAACCGCGACGACGTGTTCGAGGATTTATTAAGGAGACACCTGAATCCCCCGTCTGGAATCTTGAAGCCGTTAAAAAGATCGCCTATCCTCTCGCCTGCGAGGCGAACCACGAGTGCGCACGGTGGTCTCGAATTTTATGCAGATGCCGTGAGATCGTGTAAATATCCATCTAGTCAGGAGGCGACGATAGTTAGAAAGCGGGTTCCGGTCAGGAGGATCCTCACCTCCACCAGCCGTTTTAATGGCAATTAAACATCCGAGCTAATTGGCAATTATGGGGCATGAGAGAATCATTGGCAGAACTTTGTTTCTCCGCGAAGGCTCTCCTCTCAGTGCTCTGTTTCGCTTCTTCGTACCTTTTCGCCCCGCGATGATCGGAGAAGTGGACGGTGAAAGAGAAGAGAGGAGGAGATATCGGGTCTACCTGGTGGTAGGTGCTACAAAAGGCACTGTCTCGCGCGACCTGCGCGACTCACACTCTCGTATACCTGTCCGCTGCCTGGCTGCGCGCGACAGGAAAGGCGAAGAGGGAAAGAGGCAGAGATCGAGATGGTCCGAATGGAGCGGATGCTGGAGTCCGGGATGTGCAAGGAGAGGAGAAGAGAGGAGAAGCGTGGGAGGGGGACAGAGAGAGGGTAGCATTATAAGCGCGTCCGAGTTGCGAACGCACCGACGCGCGGTATATAGTATACACATACACACACACACACACACACATGCGCGCGGGAGAAGAGAAGGCGAGAGGTGACGACAGCGAAAACTAGTTTATTTGGAACGCGGCTATAAATTAGGATCAGATCGCTGCGAGATAAGGGAGTACGGGCTAACACCCGGTTCCCTCCGAAAAGACGACCCTCTGCCTCGCACTCCACCTCACCCCTTTCAACCCACCCCGCCGTGCCCCCTCGTCGCCTTTCTGCTCGCATCCGTCGTGGCATCCTACAAAGACAACGACGACGGATGCGTCGCAGCCGATACTTTCACATCGGCCTGACCGGTGATTCTTTCTTTCTCGAGCCTTCATCGTCACCTTCTTCGCAATAACGAACATCTCGGGGTTCATTTTGCATCTCGTGTGCTTCTCCCCTTCTCGCCGTCGGTCCGACGTGTCTCGAGTTTCGTCCCGCGTTTTCCTTTCGCGACCGACGTTCGTGAAGATTATCAATAAGATGAAGATAGACGCTGCGATAATGACGTCGCGGTTATTACATCGCTTCGCTCGATTACGTTGCGGTAAGACGAATTAGAAACAAGAGAACGCGCGTTCAGCTTCCGTCTTATCCACGTTGGCGGTTAAAGGCTGACACGCGCTTCCTCTGGTCGTCGCCGGTAGTTTCGATCTTGTCGAGCGGATTCCCATCGCCATCGGGCACAGACGGGAAGAACTCGAGAGCTAACTCACGCTTCGCTCCAACTGTTCTCTCTTCTCAGCTTCTAGTCGCTACGAGGGGAGACAGGAGAAAAGCGGGAAATGTATTTTCGCGAGGAGAGCGATCCGGCTCCTTTACGATTTCGACGAATCAGATAACCCTTCGAGCACTCGTGCTCGCACCGCGACGTTACAGATACCTTCTCCTTCACCATCTCTTCGGCAGACCAAGAGCGAGAAGGAGAAGAATGGCGCGGAACGGAGAGTAGTAAGCCCTGGAGATGAATCCCGCGAATCGTTTGTAGAGAAACGAGAGAACAGCCATTTAGACCCTCCTTTTATCCACGGCCGCGAATGAGACGGAGATTCCTCGGTGTTCCCAAAGCGCTTTAACGATCGCCTCGACTATCGCGGATAACTGCTTTTCTATCTTGCGCGCCCATACGAATCGCTCGCCCGCGAATCGCATACACAACGAGTCTCGTCCGCGCGATTATTTCGCTCTGTACGGAGAAATAAGTTTGGAATTAACCTGACGATAAGCGAACCAAGCGCGTGTCGGTGAAAGGAAACAAAATTTCCAGTTCTTACGAGTCAATTCGGTTGCAAGTATCATAATAAATTCGGTTTCCTTCAGCTGAAACGCGTTTGATCCGTTCATTGTCAGGTGAGTTGAACCGAGCTTTTTCTCCAAGTAGAAAACACGTGAATACGCTCGCGGAAAACAACGGCAGATTTCACGGTCGCGTTCGGGAATAATGGCCAATTCTTCATTCGCAAGCCCTTTGTAATTGACGCAATAATTCACGGGTAATTCTGTATCACGCGCGACAAATCTCCGCGAATCGCTCATTCGTGATGCGACGTGCGTAATTTCCGTGGAATTTACGGGAGAACGCTATTCCTCTTACGACTCTGCCGGAGGTATCCATCTTGAGGTTAATCCGGGGCCCACTAGTAAGGAGATCTCGCTCTCGAAAGAGAGAGAGGAGCTGAACGCGCGAGACTGGACCGGAGTCGTCCGTTCGGTCACCAACGCGACAGGTTGAGGTGTGTCCGGGTGTATACGGTGTTCCAACACACGCGATCCGCGCGCCCATACACCCATACACGGACGCACGTAAAGTAAAAAAAAAAGAAAGAAGAAAGAACCCACGGGGCCGACTGACTGGTGTGGTAAGAGAAAGACGCGGTTAGCCAGTGGTGATTCCATTCACTGATTGAAATCTCCGTCCATTTGTCACTGTCAAGGAGGTGGCGATAGCTTCTTTCTCCCTATTTCTCTCACCGTCTCTCGCTCCCCTTCCCCCTCTCTCTCTCTCTCTCTCTCTCTCTCTCTCTCTCTCTCTTGTGCACACGTCGCCTAAGCATCGTGGTGGACCGACGGGCCGCGCGTTACTCAGTGTGTGCCATGTCCATTATTATTTCGACTCGGGTCGCCGGGCCTTAACGACCAATCGACACGCCGGATATTAATTTCTTATCGATTGTCCCGGGCGCGAGAACCGCGGGAGTGTTCGGCAGAAAGCGGAGCGACGTCGATTCGGCCTCGCGGGCCGTTCACCGTTCACCGTTCGCGCAAGCGAATCCTTGTATCGATTTTCGTGCCGATAAGCCGGTCATGTACCGTTGCTTCAGACAACTTACCTTTTCTGACCCCTCCCTCCTACCCTCTGCCTGTTCGGGCCGTCTCGCCCCACCGAGACTTGGCCGAGAGACTTCTTTTTATAGGCCGAAAGTAAATTACGAACATCGTCGTTCGCCGTGATATTAACACAACTGTGATACATATATACCGAGCGACCCAGAATCCCGAGTCAATTTCTCCGCGGCAGAAATCGCTTTGACGGATGTACGATTACACGCATATAACGCACGGTTGTTGTGTTTGCATGAGCTTCGAATATCGAGTGAGATCGTGAAAAAAAAGAAAAAAAGAACGAAGATTAAAACGTACGAAGAAACAGTTAGACACGATTGTGAAACTTACTTTTTGAAAGAAAGATGACTGTCATCCTGGACCTTTGTGCTGGCTCTTTAGACCGGCGACACGAAGCCGCTACCCATCGACTGCGAGCTGTAACAAGAAGTACACCCATACACATTTCCCGAACATTCTTAACTCTCTGTTCGCGCGAAATTCACGAGGTTACGTTCGTTCAACACGATTAACACGTTACCACTCGCGTTTTCCGATCGCAAGAAGATACGAACGGCACACATCAGACCGTATTTTCTACTCACCCTTTATAGAAAGGTTTAAACGCAGTAGTAGCTTCCGTGGGCGGCAAGCTGGCAGTGGTTTGATGCTGGTGCAGAATGGAATTCTGTCCGACCGGCGAGAAGTCCTTGTGTGGCGAGCTCTGCAGCCGTGAGCTGAAGGACGACGCATTGTTGGCCGAGCTCGAGCTCGTCGACAGGTAACCGCCTCCACCGCCGGGGTGACTCGCCCCATAGGGATTGGGATTGCCGTTAGTTCCGGTATTGGCGTTGCCACCAGGGCAGTAACCACCCGGCGGCGGCTGGATCACTCCGTTCGGCGTGGCCACCTTCATATTGGGTGGCGTCTGCGGTGGAGTGTCCGTACCAACCTCGGGAAACCCCGCCGCCGCCGAGGAGGACGCGCTCGAGCTCGAGCCCGACGACGAGTTGGGGTTGTAATGCAGCTGGCCGCCGGATGAGGACGAAAGGAAGCCGCCATATCTCACGGCAGCACTCGAATAGGGCGTCGTCGCTGCCGCGGACGGGCTCATGCCCGCCGAGGAGGGTAGAGCGAACGAACTCAAGCTTCCTCCACCTGCGCCACCGCCTCCACCACCGCCACCAGCGGCGGCACCCGCTGCGCCCGCCGCACCAAGCCACGCTTGTTGCGCGTGGTGATGATGCCCTTGATTAGGTAGGTGATGTTGTTGTTGTTGATAATGTTGCTGATGATGCAGGTGGTGGTATTGCTGTTGGTGGGGGTGCGAAGACGGCGGTGGCGTCTTGCACGCCGCAGTGTCCGCCAACGACCAGATTTTGGGTTTCGTCGCTGGGATCGGCACGCCACCGGCGCTACAATCTTGTTTGATCCCTTCCTCCTTCATATGATCCTCACCACCGTAACCCGGATGATGATGGTGATGATGTTGCATCGTGTGGTGAAAGGGATGCTCGTTCCGTCGACGTTCGTCCTCGAGATCGAGATCGTCCTCGTCGTCGAGATCCTTCTCGTGCTGCATCAACTCCGCTTTCACATGCCTCATCGGCTCTGGAAGCAGTCCGGGAAAATTATCTTTAGACTTATAAACCCAATTGCGCGTCTGCAAATGGAACTGCTTGTGAAATCGAGACCATTAAGTTTATAATAATATATAAAAAATATCAACATATAGAAAATGTATCTGTCGCAAATGAATTATTGGAATCGTTTTTTGTATTGTAATATAGTACATATTAGCACATATTTTGGACGAGATTCGCTCGACGATTTGTCACACATATACACACATGTCGAGGAATATTTTGCAAAAGTAAAACAGCTATACGGAAATATAGGTATTAATGGTTTATAATGCCCCGATGCGCGAGAGTGAGATGTGGAACACGAGTCATCGTGACGAGATTCCAACAGCGTGGAAGGTCGTCGAGCGTCGGTGGTGACGGCGGCGGTGGTGGTGGTGGAGCATGGATATCTCCCTTACGCCCTTATACAGTTAAGCTGTAAGGGATGCTGTGAAAAAAGGGAGCGAAGCCTTCAACCACTTTGGGGCGCGAGAGATTTCAGTTTTCCCCTCGGGGTAGCCGGGCGGGGACGCGAGAGGACAGGCGGGTGGACGGGAAGGAGGGAGAAAAAGAGAGAAAGGGAAGCATATCCTTTTCCTTTTTCTCCGATCTCCCCGTCCCGTCGTCTCTCTCGGGGCACTTCAGGATCGTCTCGACCGTCTGCCAGCCAGCCAGCTAGGCAGCCACCGAGCCGAGCCAAGCCAGCCAGTCAGTCAGGGGTGAGAATTTCATTAAGAGGTTCGAATGTGTCGGCAGAGGGTTTACTTGATGGGTCGTCAAGCGATAATTCCCAAGCTCGAAGGGCGTGCTGCTTACACCCTGGAGTGTAAGAGAGACGTAGAGAGGTTGATAGACAAAGAGAGGGGTGAAGAGAGAGAGATTGTGCGAAAGAGAGAGAGAGAGAGAGAGACAGAGAGAAAAAGAGAGTTTCGGTTTAGGGCGTCTGCACCCCTTTATAAAGGAAACCTTATGGGCCAACTAAATAGATACTACCGTCGAGTCCACAAGTGGCTCTTTAACTTTTGACCCTCTTTTATCAGACGTTAATCTCATAATCTTCGCGCCGCGTAGGTGGCTTTCGTGTTCGAGTCGAATAACTAAATTGTATCGGACTCGGGTTTACGGGTCAGATCGTTAACCGCATCACACAAATCACGAGTATATAATAGTCGGTCCTTTCCGTTTCGACATTATATACTTCCGCGATTACGCGGGAGGAAACCGAAGAACTCTCGTCCCATGCGTCTGACTTTACGTAACAATAGCGAGTTCCAAATGGGAACTTTATATATATATATATATATATATATATATATATATATATATATATATATATATATATATATATATATATATATATATAT